TTCGAAAATAGTTCATTCTATTTATAGAAATGCCACTGCATTGTTTTGCTTATAAAATCGTCGTTTTAGCTCCGAATCAACCCGTTCAAATTGCGTTAGGTTCGTAATTAAGTTCTCTACATGTTAATACCACTGTCAAACATGTTTGCAACATTTAAATTTTGAGGTTAGATTTAATTAAATAAATTGTTATAGGAAACCCCGTTTAATTCATAACTTTCATGTTTTAGCTCCGTTTTTCGTGAACTTCGCGTCCATGTGATCATAGAGAAACATAGATTCTTTTTTAAGAACCTTTTTATCTTGTTTTTGTGCCCTGGTGTACTGTTCTAATCCCATAATTGTTTGCTTTGCATGAATGCCTTTGGAATGCTTGTATGTTGCTTTGTTGGTCGAGTTCAGACGATGAGGAGAACATTGGAGACCAAGAGTTCTTTGACGACCAGCAGGAGCAGCCCGAGTTCGTTGAGCAAGGCAAGTATAACATGGGATCTACCTTGATGTCCTATTCACCATTTATTAATCTCTTATTTGTATGTGTCTAATTTTGATACTCGTAAGGACATCCTAGTGATTGAGTATCATGTTTCCTTGTCTCCTATGGGTTATATGCATATGGATAGTTTGCTAGCGCTCAATGTAATTGTACATGGTCTACATAATGACTAATGGTTCTATGGAACGAAAAGGTAAAATTTATTTTTAAACAACTGAATTATAGGGCGAAGGAGCAAATAACTTTTGATCATGATGCTCTTGGCCCTCCATAAGGACTTATCTATCGGCAAAAGCTGGGACTGACAGTGCAACCGTGAGGGTCACATGGCTCTGACTTTAGCTCAGTAATAGGACCTTTTCTAGCTTGTTAGAGGTTACCGTTATGGCGCAAAAGGGGCTTGCCACGTTGGATATAGGACTTCCTTTGTTCCTATGTGTATAGCCGCGATGGAAATGTGCCATAGGAAAGGGGAGTTCCTACATCTGCCTGTCGAGGAAACCTAGCGGCCCTAACTTGTTAGAGAAACCTATAAAATGGCTTCATAGTGTACCCCGCCCGCTCACCTTGGTAGTGTTATGGGAGTAATTAACCCGGGCATATGGGAATCACGACTCACGGTGAATATGCACAACCTCTGTAGAGTGTTACAAACTGTTATAACAGCCGTGCTCACGGTCATGAGCGGCCCGGAAAACTCACATAATAAATGGTTACTTATTGTTGTTCATTTATGCTGTTCTACGATGATAACATGATTCAATTGATTCTGATATCTGATCATGTGGGTTTAATTGGGGCTTAAGCATAACTTGATAATAGTTGATGATAAAATCTTGACTTACTAAAAGTGCTAACCGCATGATAAAACCGAGTCACCCTTTTTGAGCTTTCATAACCCCATGTTATCTTGTTAAAAATGGGGAAGTACTTACACTTGTTTACTTTCAATATTGGATAAAAATCCGAATGGGTAATGAGATGTCAATGGATATGAGGAGTTTTCAGGAGGACTTTTAGGCTTGTGGTCAACCAGTTGACCGTTCCTGTGTTGGAGCTACCACGAGAGAGTTACCTTTTTATTTTCCGCTGTGTTGTGTAAGACTATGTGATTGTATTAATCGTGATGTAAGATACACCGTGATGATATTTTTTGTAATTTGTCAACTTATGTATGTGACTGATCCCTGGGCACACATGAGTTTTATGCATTCAATTTTATCCTTAAAATTGGGTGTGACACAATGCAACTATGAGAGTGTTTTGTCCTAGTGATAGTGTGGCTGTGGGATCAACCTCATTAAGTTATTCGAAGTGAGCGGCGGAGGAAACGACTCAAGTTCAGATACACAAATCGTGCATGGATGGATTTAAGGTAGCATGCGCATTTGCTAAGGGGCGACACTTTCTCTTTTTTGAGGTTAGATGCTAGCCAGAGCCTTGTATTCATGGGTGAGAGATCGACTTTACAGCGTTACCACACGTACCAAATTGTTCACTCTATCAGGCAGGCGGTAAGTCAATCCGCATACGGACCCAAAAAAAAAGTCATTCATTACAAATGCAAACCATCTGCCCGTACCGCCATATGCTATCACCACAAGGCTAACAACCCAATGCAAACCCTGCTCCAAATCTGAAATGTTCACTTGGTGCTTACCGGAGAAGAAGAGTGCACGAATTTTCGGTCAAAACAAAGGTAAGAAACTTGACAGGTTTTGCTTTTCTGAAAAGTGTTGTTTTTATTTTGGGAAAGTTGTCTTGTTTCAAAAAGGAACTTGGGAAAGTTGTAGTCGATGAGAATCGAGTGTTGTAGAATGCACAAGAGAGGGATGATACGTTTCTCAGTGGCTAACTGCAAGTTTGACATAATACAGGCAACACTTTTAGCCTAAACCTTGTGAAATATTTCAGATATATATAAACTAAAGTAGTAGATAAATGCCATATGACATCAATATAACAATTTATGTGAGTACAAGTACAATATACATACAATGAACAAAAAGGGATATATGTCATATACGTTTCTTAATGCCCTTTTTTCGGCAATTGCAAGTTTTTGAAATTAAAGAAAGTAAACCTCGTGACTTATATTGTAAGGTACAGAAACTGGAGTACCAACAGCTAACTAAGGGGAAAATGTCATGAGCATTTCTAAGAATCTTTCTTAAACTTCCTCTCTAAATCAATATTTAGAGAGCTATTTGAATAAAAATCATTTTCTATATCAATCTTTTTATCTTTTAATATTTTTTTCTATATCTTGTGTGCACTCTATAAAGCTATTCTCGCTTTTTATTTGTTTGCTGGAGCGAACAGGGCGAAGCTATATTTGGATATCCAATTAAAACATTATTGGAAGGTATTTTTTATCAAAATCTCTGTTCCTAACAATTAGGAAAGATATAGAGAGTCTATTGGAGTTGATCTTAAGTCCTGTTAATTGTTAGTTAACTAAAAAATAGCTAAAATTAACTCTAATACCTCCAAACAAGAAGTCTAACTAAATTACCCAACTAGCTAGCTAACCTTATCTAATTTGAGCTAATTTTTAGTCATCTAATAACTAGCACTAGCTCATCCATACAACACCTCAGTAGTTACGGGCTAACGGCTAAGCTAAACATATAGCCGCATCTGTACGGTGAGATCAAAATTGTCCCACGGTTTGCACCACAGGTTTTTTCTAACGCGTGCCGCTGTCCCATAGTACAAACAAAGAATAGAAAGGAATGATGACTGGAAATTTGTCAGGACAACGTTGTTGCTTCCCAGGTTTCCGACGGTGATGATCGAGCTTTGTCCGTTCCTGCTCACGTTCTCGACGACCTCGGGAGCGGACGGCGGCCGTGCGGCCGTGCACGGTCTGTCTTCCTGGCTGACACGGTCAGCACTTAGCAGGCGTGGATGAGCTAACCTGAGTTAATTTAAGCTAATTTTTAGTCCAACTAACAACTGACCTTAGTTCACCTAAATAGACCCTTAAGAGCAACTTCAAGAGAAGAACTATTGTAAGTGTAAGTGATGAAGCCAAATTTTAGATTTTTTTCAGAAGAAACAGTGCTCCAATTTATACTCTATCTCGTGTTCCAAAATAACAAATGATCTATTCCGGACTTCTTACTCGCTAAAGAAAGCAAGCCGCAGCCGTTCGCCATTCACCTCCCCTGCGTCTATTCCCACTTGTGGATGACTCTTCCCGCACGCGAGCCTTCCGCCCGCCGGGCCTGCCTCGTGCGGCGACATTCACTTCGTGCCGCCCCTTCCCTCGTCCGTGCAGTAGCCAGGTACGGTGTCCGACACTCGCACCGCGTGTTCTCGTCAGGACTTGTGGCTTTGCCTTCCGGGGATCCTCTGAAAGCATTTGTACGGTGTGATCAAAATTGTCCCACAGTTTGCACCCTAGGTTTTTTTTAACGCCTGCCGCCGTCCCATACAAACAAAGAATAGAAAGGAACGCTGACCGGAAATTTGTCTGGATAACGTTGTTGCTTCCCAGGTTTCTGACGGTGACGATCGAGCTCTGTCCGCTCCTGCTCGCGTTCTCCCACACATGGGACGACCTCGGGAGCCGACGGCGCCCGTGCACGACGGCCTGTCTTCCTGGCTGGCTGACCGAGCACTCAGCAAAAGTGGAACTGGCACCGGACCGGTGGACGATAAACAAAAACCGCAGCGCCGGTCGCCGCCACCTGTCCTTAGCGTGGTCAGGGCTCTTGAGACTCGGAGGAGGCCAGACAGCCCAACTGCCGAAACGGATTAACATATCCCACGGCGGATGATGGGGCTGCCAGCCCAGCTACGGCTACTGAGCTACAGGCTGCCCGTGCCTACAGCTACAGGGGGAGCCGGATCGGTGACCGCGCGCGTCTGACTGTCTGAGGGCCTGAGGCCGAGCCGCCCACAGAGACGGAACGAAGAGGACGGGGGAAGTGGTGCGCCCGAACCCGAACTGGAACCGGGTGATTTTTCTTACGAATGGCACACGCAATAATTGCCCCCGCCAACCACCGCCAGCCCGGTTTTCATTTTCAGGGTTGGTGGCGTTTGTTTGTCCAGCATCCTCCACCCTAGCACTAGTTGAGGACTAGTGAGGAGTCGTAGTAGGTAGAAGACTTCTAGGAGGATAGAGGAAGGCAATTAAATAGAAATGAAAAACATATTAAAAGGGCAATTAATATAATATCGAAACAAAAAAAAATCAGAAAGTCTCTTTGCTTTGAGATCCACCCCATCGTTCACCAACCATCCCACTACAGAGCAGCGACCTGCTGTGCTCACCTCACTCACCTCCTAAACCCGCCCACCCGTCGTGCCCGGCCCCGGCCACCTATTTAAGCGCGGCCTCCCCCGCCGTTTCCCTCCAAGAAGAGCAGCCCACTCCTCCGGCTCTTCTTCTCCTCCACCGGCACCACCACCTCCAGCAGTCCACCTCCCTCCTCCTGCCCCCTCCGCGCGCCCGCCGGCCCCAACCACAACCACAGCACAGCACAACACAGCAATGGCGGGCAACGGCGCCATCGTGGAGAGCGACCCGCTGAACTGGGGCGCGGCGGCGGCGGAGCTGGCGGGGAGCCACCTGGACGAGGTGAAGCGCATGGTGGCGCAGGCCCGGCAGCCCGTGGTGAAGATCGAGGGCTCCACGCTCCGCGTCGGCCAGGTGGCCGCCGTCGCCGCCGCCAAGGACGCGTCGGGCGTCGCCGTCGAGCTCGACGAGGACGCCCGCCCCCGCGTCAAGGCCAGCAGCGAGTGGATCCTCGACTGCATCGCGCACGGCGGCGACATCTACGGCGTCACCACCGGGTTCGGCGGCACCTCCCACCGCCGCACCAAGGACGGGCCCGCGCTCCAGGTCGAGCTGCTCAGGTAACCACCACCACCAACCGGATCGACCGTCTCCCCTCCGGCATCATCATTGCTCCTGTACACATATAATAGTATGGTTTTGTTGCCGTGTAATTAGCCATAGTGGTACTGGATCAGATCTGTTAATTGCTGGTGATCTGGTCCCGGCTAGCCCCTGGCATGCGTCGGGAGCCTGGGTGTGACTGGGTCACTGCCTCATCTCTGGGAGTAGAAGACGATTACGATGAAGGAAGGGCCCCACGCCCAACTGGGGCCCACACGCCAGTTAAATAAAGTACTCCAGTACGTATAGACGTAGGATTCTTTGCGTCACGGAGTCACAGTGCATCGGTGCTGTGCTTTTGCCTCCTGAGAATCACGAGGCTGCAGCCAGCAAACGGAAGGCAACAACGGGAGCAGATCAGTGCAACCCTCACCCACCCACCAACCAACACACAACAGTCTTCCCTCCTCGCCATGAACTAGTCTAGAAGGAAGGAAGTTACGGGGCGCATGCACGCCGCTCACATGCGAACCGGTCATGCGCCGCCGGGCACGGCTCTGCCGGATGGCATGACCATGGCACGGTGCTGGAAAAACGGCTTCCCTCCTCGCCTGCAGCTGCAGGCAGGCGGCTGCCGGCGGCGTCTGACAAGTCAGCAGGGGCCTGGAGATCCGGCCGAGGTTTGTAGTCATGTCATGTGGGACGGGTCACGGGGAAACGTCGGAGCTTGGGATAAGTTTTCTTTCTTCTATGGAAACTATGGAAGGATACATAGATGTGACATGAAAAGGGGACAAAAGTATTATATATGCACATGTGACATGACAACAAAAGTGTATACACGTACTAGATCCAAACTTGTTTTGTTTTTCAAATTTTTGGACACGAAACAAGTTGACATGTGGACCTTGTACACTCTGCACCAGGCGCATTGTGTACACACACCGAACCCAAATTTTTAAAACTACTGTCAGGCCGTGTTCAGCCCTGACTCTTTTGTTTTCAACTTTCACAAATTATTACTAGGCCTTGTTTAGATTATCTCCAAATTCTAAGTTTTTTCACTCTCTCTCCATCACATCAATTTTTGGACACATACATGGAGCATTAAATGTAGGTAAAAAAATAACTAATTACACAGTTTGATTATAAATCACGAGACGGATCTTTTGAGCCTAGTTAGTCCATGATCAAACAAAATTTGTCAAATACAAACGAAACGTGCTACAGTATCCAGGTTGCAAAAATTTACAATCTATACAAGTCCGTAGTAGCATGTCTGGTACCGTCAGCAGGCTGCAACTTGGCAGTTCAGTAACGAATTCTATCGGTGCTGTCAGACTGACCCATGTGCGCTCCCCTGCAGGCATCTCAACGCCGGAATCTTCGGCACCGGCAACGATGGCCACACGCTGCCGTCGGAGGTCGTCCGCGCGGCGATGCTGGTGCGCATCAACACCCTCCTCCAGGGCTACTCCGGCATCCGCTTCGAGATCCTGGAGGCCATCACCAAGCTGCTCAACACCGGGGTCAGCCCGTGCCTGCCGCTCCGGGGCACCATCACCGCGTCGGGCGACCTGGTCCCGCTCTCCTACATCGCCGGCCTCATCACGGGCCGCCCCAACGCGCAGGCCACCACCGTCGACGGGAGGAAGGTGGACGCCGGAGAGGCGTTCAAGATCGCCGGCATCGAGGGCGGCTTCTTCAAGCTCAACCCCAAGGAAGGTCTCGCCATCGTCAACGGCACCTCCGTGGGCTCCGCGCTCGCGGCCACCGTGATGTACGACGCCAACGTCCTCGCCGTCCTATCCGAGGTCCTGTCCGCCGTCTTCTGCGAGGTCATGAACGGCAAGCCCGAGTACACCGACCACCTCACCCACAAGCTCAAGCACCACCGGGGTCCATCGAGGCCGCCGCCATCATGGAGCACATCCTGGACGGCAGCGCCTTCATGAAGCAGGCCAAGAAGGTGAACGAGCTGGACCCGCTGCTCAAGCCCAAGCAGGACAGGTACGCGCTCCGCACGTCGCCGCAGTGGCTGGGCCCCCAGATCGAGGTCATCCGCGCCGCCACCAAGTCCATCGAGCGCGAGGTCAACTCCGTCAACGACAACCCGGTCATCGACGTCCACCGCGGCAAGGCGCTGCACGGCGGCAACTTCCAGGGCACGCCCATCGGCGTGTCCATGGACAACGCCCGCCTCGCCATCGCCAACATCGGCAAGCTCATGTTCGCGCAGTTCTCCGAGCTCGTCAACGAGTTCTACAACAACGGGCTCACCTCCAACCTGGCCGGCAGCCGCAACCCCAGCCTGGACTACGGCTTTAAGGGCACGGAGATCGCCATGGCCTCCTACTGCTCTGAGCTCCAGTACCTGGGCAACCCCATCACCAACCACGTCCAGAGCGCGGAGCAGCACAACCAGGACGTCAACTCCCTGGGCCTCGTCTCCGCCAGGAAGACCGCGGAGGCCATCGACATCCTGAAGCTCATGTCGTCCACCTACATCGTGGCGCTGTGCCAGGCCATCGACCTGCGCCACCTCGAGGAGAACATCAAGACGTCGGTGAAGAACACGGTGACCCAGGTGGCGAAGAAGGTGCTGACCATGAACCCCTCTGGCGACCTCTCCAGCGCGCGGTTCAGCGAGAAGGAGATCATCACCGCCATCGACCGCGAGGGCGTGTTCACGTACGCGGAGGACCCGGCCAGCGCCAGCCTGCCGCTGATGCAGAAGCTGCGCGCCGTGCTGGTGGACCACGCCCTCAGCAGCGGCGACGCGGAGCGGGAGCCCTCCGTGTTCTCCAAGATCACCAAGTTCGAGGAGGAGCTCCGCGCGGTGCTGCCCCGGGAGGTGGAGGCCGCCCGCGTCGCCGTGGCCGAGGGCACCGCCCCCGTGGCGAACCGGATCACGGACAGCCGGTCGTTCCCGCTGTACCGCTTCGTCCGCGAGGAGCTCGGCTGCGTGTTCCTGACGGGCGAGAAGCTCAAGTCCCCCGGCGAGGAGTGCACCAAGGTGTTCAACGGCATCAGCCAGGGCAAGCTCGTCGACCCCATGCTGGAGTGCCTCAAGGAGTGGGACGGCAAGCCGCTGCCCATCAACATCGTCAACTAAAGACGCATGCATCCGTGCATGTCCGCCGGAGGAGGAGGAGAAGATGAGGAGGAAAATACATGAAAAATAAAACTTGTACACGTGTATGTCCAGATCGTGCCGTCGTCGTTCTTCGTCGTTGACTTTTGGTAGTATTGATCGATCCATATGTGTGCGTGTGGCGTTGTTCTTTCTTCTTTGTGTAGCTGCCCTGCCACCGCCTGCCATGTGCATGCCACGGCGGACAGCGTTTTCTAAGATCCTACTATACTGTTGTATTTTGGGGTGAAGTAAATCTTACGTGCTCAATTCCAAGGTTTTTAATTTCGGTATCGCCAAAATTTCGGTGACCACCGAAATTATCGAATTTTGTGAAATTCGACCGAAATTTCGCCGAATTTTTTTTTAGAGATTAGCACATGAAGTATGTTTTTTTAAAAAAAATTTGGATCTAAACAAATATTAGTATGATTTATGACTACGTATCTATGAAATAGAAGAATATGCAATATAAACAATAGAAAAATATAAGATTAGAGTTATATAGCACATGTATTAGTGTATTAAAAAAATTCGAAGTTTTCTTTCGGCCATCACCGAAATTGCCGAATTTCGTAAAATTCAGCCGGAATTTCGCCGAAATTTTGAACCCCACTCAATTCCTTCTTCTAAGTATCCTATCCTATACAATGCTCTGCTCCTGTCTCATCTTGCGGATATTGCGCTAGTGCCAGCCAGTTGATCATCACTACCAGTCCGAGAGGAGCCCCATTTTGCTAATTCAGAGGGAGTAGGATGTCACTGTTCAAAAAAAAAAAACACACACACACTAAGGCCTTGTTTACTCTCTCCCCCTAAAGTTTACTTCATATCTCATCGAATATTTGGACATATGCATAGAGTATTAAATATAGACTCAAAAAATAACTAATTGCATAGTTTGCGACTAATTTGCGAGACGAATCTTTTAAGCCTAACTAGTCCATGATTTGACAGCGTGGTGCTACAGTAACACATGTGCTAATGATGGATTAATTAGGCTTAATAAATTTGTCGCGCGGATTACTGACGAATTCTGTAATTTATTTTTTTATTAATATCCGAACGCCCCATACGATACCCCCACATGATAACCCAAAACTTTATACCCTGGATTTAAACTCAGGCCTAAGACAAAAGGCCCTTGCTTAAATAATATTGTTGTTAACTTGCTGTAGTGGCAAAAGGCCCTTGCTTAACAAACATAATTCATTGTTGTTGACTGCAACATCAGCTTTGTGTTGGGCAGTTTGGATAACGAGAAACGAGATGGTTTTTGACAAATGTAGACCAAAATCATTTTTGCAGGTTCTTTTCAGGGGAACCCACGGGCTCCGCCAATGGGTAAGACTGCAGCGGTGTGATGATCAACGGGACCAGCTGATCCTAGCATGGCATTATCTAGAGACGTCAGCCTTGTTTTTTTTTTGTTCCAAAGGGTGGTTGTCAAATAGGTCTATTGGTCTCGTTTAGTTAAAAACTTTACTTTGTTCATTTGTGTGAGTGGCTGTAAGATGAAGTTCTTTATAGCTCGTGTGCTTGCCAACGGGCTGAACCTCGTAATAATTAGCCTAATTTTACATACAACCGGGTATGAACTATCCTTTATTAAAAAAAATAAGCCGCCTACCTTTGTGCTGATGAGTGATGATGGCTTACCTACCTCATGGTGGGGGTCCTGGGGGAGCAGAACGCACGGCAGATTTTGCTTTGCCCGTCGCCACGCCACTCCTACCTACCGCCTGGGACAAGAGTGATCAAGAAAGGATTGCAGTTGGCCAGCAGCAGCACTACTGTACTAGGGCAAGGGCAACGTCCAAATCGCTCTTGGGTTGTGAGTTAACTTGTGATGAAAGGCAGCCAGCAACTTGACCGGGAAAATGATGTCCTCCCCTGTTCTTCCGATCACTGCTACTGTGTGCTGGTGCTGTGGAGTTGTCAGTGGGCATACTAAATGATGCGTGCGACATGAGGGGCAAGTGTGCTACTACTCTCTCTGAGCCTCGCGTGAAATTATATTTCAGTTAGGTTGCTGTTTTGTTTATATATATCTGAGATGTTTACTGGCAGTGTGTGCTGCAATCCGTTTATTTGGCGTTGCAGAACAATTGTAGCTTTCTCAGGCATAAACTAAGCCAGAAATGGCACTGTGTCTGATATGGAGTGTAGTACACTGCACTAAAGTACTAACACTAATCTTAAACGGTTCCGATGGTCTGTTACGGCTCATTCACTTAGTCTTATAAACCATACTTTTTTAGCCAATAAATAATATTTTCCCTCTCATAATAAATCAGTCAACGGTACTTCAGCCTTATCAGCCAAGCGATAGGGCTCCGCTGCGGGAACAAGTACCTTTCTGAAGCCAATAACTAAAGGCCACAAAACTAGAGCAGATGAGAAGGCTACCTAACACAGATCGGAAGCTTTCCTCTTACCTGCCACGGCCCAGGATGCGAGGTTGCATTGCATCACGAGCAAATCTGATGAGCATGGGAGTGAAAGTGAACCGTCCGTGTTCGTTTGTCTTCTGCATGCGTCCGTTCAGCTCAGGCCACGAACTTGCAGCCTGTTCGACATGCCGTAAACGATCGTAGATTATTTACTGCTAGTTGATTTGGTATGAGAAAAAAATACTGTTTCAGCTTATAATCAACGATAAGCGAACAGGCTGTTGATTCTACTCTGCACGAAACACTCTGGGAAAGCAACACAACTGTAAACCACGAAGCCTACCTACCTACCAATCCCGGCCAGCTTCGTCCCTTGCGTGCGGGTGGATTACTACAAGAAGTGGTCTGGTCAGTGAGCTAACTCAGGCTGCATGCCACCAACAGCATCCTGCTGCCTGACGGTCAATGTTGCCGAGCCAACTTGGCCCTTTCTTCTGACCAGGCTTTGAGGCAGACACTTCCATTTCCAGCTAAGCTTCATCGACATATACAATGATAATACTCTGACTAGCTACAAACTGATTCGTTTGGACGCTTCAGAAAGTAACACAAATAGTAGTGTACGTACTAGTTAATCAGATATGGTTAAAGAGGTTTGTGCATGAAGGTCAAACTCCCTTAGACCGTTGGCGGGCTAAGATTAGACGTCTTCGCCAATACTTAAGGGGCTGGGCCAAAAATACTCGCGGTGCTTACAAGAAAGAGAAAAAACAACTGCTTGATAAACTAGATGGGCTGGATAAGAAGGCTGAGTTATCACAGCTCAACGATGACGAGTTAAATCTAAAGCATACTTTAAATGAAAAACTAGCCCAACTTCTAACGGAGGAAGAAATAAAATAGTGCCAAAGGGCAAAGGTCAAAAATCTATTGGAAGGAGATGCAAATACTAAATATTTCCAATTAGTGGCTAATGGGAAGCATAGAAAAACTCGTCTTTTCCAATTGGAACCAGAGGAGGGTATTATCAGTGGTGTTGCTTGTCTAAAAAAGTTTATCACCAAATACTATAAGAATTTCTTTAGCTCTCCTGAACCCTCTTTTGTAACAATGGACGAGACTCGCATAGATGGCATCCCCCAAGTCACAGAAGTTGAAAATGAAATCCTCACACAAAGATTCTCAGAAGCCGAGGTAAAGGATGCTATTTTTCAAATGAAACATAATTCGGCCCTAGGGCCTGATGGATTCCCTCTAGAATTTTATCAGGCTTTCTAGAATACCATAAAAGGGGATTTGACGGCGATATTCGAGGAAGTCCATAAAGGTGACCTTCCACTTCAAAGATTAAATTTTGGGACAATAATCTTACTACCTAAAAGTACTGATGCTAAACAAATCCAACAATACATACCGATTTGTTTGTTGAATGTTAGTTTTAAAATTTTCACCAAAATGGCCACTAATAAGATGGCTTTAGTAGCCTAAAATGTTGTTCATCCTTCACAAACTGCTTTCCTTCTAAGGGAGAAATATAATGGAAGGTGTTGTAGTTCTACATGAAACTTTACGCGAGTCCCATAGGAAAAAGATGAGCAGGGTTATTTTTAAGATTGATTTCAAAAAGGCCTATGACAACGTCAATTGGACATTTCCACATCAGACTCTTCGAATGAAAGGTTTTTTTCCAAAAATGGTGTAGTTGGATCCAATCTTTTGTACAAGGTGGCAATGTGGGAATTAAGGTTAATGACCAAATGCGCCCTTCCAAACATGAAAAGGCCTTCGGCAAGGCGATCCATTGTCCCCAATATTATTTAATATGGTGGTAGACATGTTGGCTATTATTATTGCCAGAGCCAAAGAGGATTGACAAATAAAAGGGGTAGTGCCACATTAGGTTGATGGCGGGTTGTCTATCTTGCAGTATGCGGATGACGCAGTGCTATTCATAGATCATGATATTGAACAGGCAAAGAACTTGAAGTTACTTCTTTGCACTTTTCGACAATTATCAGGTCTTAAAATTAATTTTCACAACAGTGAATTTTTTTTTGTTTTGCTGAGGCAAATAACAGCGAAGTAGCTTATTCACATCCTTTTGGCTTGAAGTTAGGCACTATCCTTTCTGATACCTTGGTATCCCAATGATTTACCGAAAGCTAAATAACAAAGACCGGAAGAAAGTAGAAGAACGAATAAGAAAAGACTCAGCAGTTGGAAAGGCAAGCATTTATCAATTGGAGGTAGACTGGTACTGATTAATTCAGTGTTGTCAAGCCTTCCCGATGTTTATGCTTTCTTTATTTGAAATTCCTAGAGGTGTCTTGAAGAAGATAGATTATTACAGATAAAAAAAATAGCAAAATGACAATCACAAAAAAAAAAGCCTAGTTCGATGGCCTCTTTTATGCCAATCCAAAGAACAAGGGGGTTAGGAATTATGAATCTGGATTTACAAAATAAGTGTCTCTTGAGCAAATGGTTGTTTAAATTAAGCAATGAACATGGTATATGGCAGGACTTATTGAGGAACAAATATATTAAAGATAAGACTTTGTCACAGGTACAGAAAAAATCTGGAGACTC